CAGGCGCCGTCCGCTACTCACCGCTCGCACGCCCTCTGCGCGCCGCCGACCCTCGCAGAGGCTCGGCAGAAGCTCTCCGCCCTAGGCCTGCGCCGTGTTCTGCGAGAAGGCCGTGGGGCCGACCCCGGAGCTGCCCCGCGCGGCCAAGGCTGCCTGAGGCGGGGCGCCGTGAGGGCGGGGGCGGGCGGGCGCCTCCCCGGGCAGCTACTCTGGGGCTGCACAGCCGCGAGCGGGATGGCGGGTGTGCTTGTGGTTCCACTCCGTGGCTGTGGGCAGGTCGGTTTCGGTGGTTTCCCGGTCGCGGGGGTCGCCGCCATTTCCTCAGCGCCCCCCGCCTCCCCGCTTCCTCGAAGCCGCTGCGCGCGCGGGCTGCGCGGTGGGCGTCTCGCCCCTGTTACGCGCGGAGAGACCGGGAGAAGGGCTGCTGGAGCTCAGGTGCGAGTTACCCCGGAGAGGTGGGGACGGGGTAGCCCGGGCGTTAGGGCCGCGCCCTGAGGGCTGCGGTGAAGGTAGCCCCGGCAGGGAGCCGGCCACGCAAACACCCTCCCCTCCCCGCCGGGGAAGAGCGGGCCGCAAGGGGGCTCTGGGGCGGGAGGTTCGCTCTTCACTCACAAGGCATTTCAGAGAAGCCATGGGATTTCTCTGTTTAGATAGCTGTTGCAGTGCTTATGGCTCATCTGGTAAAGAATCTGCCTGCAATGTGGGACACCTGGATTCAATCCCTGGGTTGGGAAGATCCCCTGGAGAAGGGAAAGGCTACCCACTCCACTATTATGGCATGGAGTGCAACGAAGAGTCAAGACTGAGCGACTTTCACTTCACTAATTAAGGGGCTCCCCCACTAATTAAGGGGCTTCCCTCATAGCTCAGTCGGTAAAGAATCTGCCTGCAATGCAGGAGACCCGGGTTCCATTCTTGGGTTAGGAATATCCTCTGGAGAAGGAAATGACAACCCACTCCAGTATTCCTTCCTGGAGAATCCCATGGACAGAGGAGCCTGGCAGTCTGCAGTCCGTGGGATTGCAAGAGTCGGACACGATTTAGGGACTAAACCACCACGCAGTCCTTAGGGGAATGGATCGGATAGAAGAAAGACTGGTTCTGAGTGGGTTATAATAGACAGCAAGAGAGATGGATGTGGTCAGCAGCCCCGTCGGGGGTCACTGAACACCTAGTGTCCTGAGAGGACAGGTCTTGTAGTACAGCACAGGGGTGGAGGTGAGAGGAGTAGCGGGGGAGGGGAGGGACCGCGTCTCTGGAGGCTTCTCTCAGGAAGCAGAGTAAACATCTGGCGGTCATCAGGAAGAGCCTTTCGGTAGGGTGAGTTTTGTTTTGAACATTCAAGAGCACTTAATCTGACACTTGGGCCATTTAACAGATGGGGAAGCTGAACCACTGGAATTACGCATCGAGTTAACGGGCTTGTCTGAACTTGCAGCTGTTGGAAGCGGAGCTCCAGCTTGAATTCGGTTCCAGTCTGTTATTCTTGCAACTTCAGGCAGGTACCTTATCTAAAAAGTTAGGAGACCACAGTGGGAGGTTCACTGGAGGCGTATATCGCAGAGGGGTTATTGTTGTTCAGTCCCTAAATCATGACCCAGTCTTTATGACCGCATGTACTGAGGCCTCACACCAGGCTTACCTGTGCTTCCCTGTCTCCCTGAGTTTATTCAAATTCATGTCCATTGGGTCAGTGATGTCATCCAACCATCTCACCCTCTGAAGCCCCCTCCTCCGTCGTCATATCCTCAGTCTTTCCCAGCATCAGGGTCTTTTCCAATGAGTCAGCTCTTTACATCAGGTGGCCAAAGTATTGGATTTTCAGCATCAGCATCGGTCCTTCCACGGAATATTTAGGGTTGATTTCCTTTAAGATTGACTGGATTGATTTCCTTGCTGTCCAAGGGACTCTCAAGAGTCTTCTGTAACACTACAGTTCAAAAGCATCAATTCTTTGGTGCTCAGCCTTCTTTATGGTCCAACTCTCATATCCGTACATGCCTACTGGAAAAAACCATAGCTTTGACTATAGGGACTTTTGTCTGCAAAGCTCTGTAGGCTTGTCATAGCTTTTCTTCCAAGGAGCCAGGGTCTTTAAATTTCATGGCTGCAGTCACCATCCGCAATGATTTAGGAGCCCAAGAAAATAAATTCTGCCACTGTTTTCATTTTTGCCCCATCTATTTGCCATGAAGCAATGGGACCAGATACCATGATCCTAGTTTTTGAATGCTGAGTTTTAAGCCAGATATTTGAGAAGGGTGGAGGCTTTCCAATATGTCCCCACTAAGGTGGGAAGACTAGGTCACACGGGAAGAAAGGAGCCCAAAGGTGCAGACAGTGCCCACAGGTGCTGGCTTTTCAGACTGTTAGTTCGGCTGTGTATTTCGCTCAGACTTGAAGTGTTGGTTTCCCACTTTGGGAAGTGTCAGGGTGGAGGGGGGGAATTCAGGGGTGAACTTAGAAGTGTAAAATCACTGGCTTTTCTGGGTCTTAGAGGGCGTCAGTTCACCTTTTCTTGCAGTTGTGGCTGCCTTTGGGGGCTGGCCACTGGGACAGCTGAGTTGGAATTAGACTAAGAATTGGTCTTGATCTGATTGACGCCTCACACCCTGAACCCACACATGCTTTCAAGAATCATTCCTCCCTGGCAGATGGTAGCTGGTTTAGAGCAGGGACTCTGCCTTGTTCATTCCAGAATCCCTCATGGTTAGGTGCTGTGTTTGGCAAATTGGAATGATGTACTTCGTATCTGCAGAACTGATCATCGTTTGAGTCTTTAGGAAAATTATCTTGAGTTTCCAGGGCTTACAGCTGGAGGTGGGAGCAGAAAATGATGCAATTCCCCGAGTAAATTTTAAAAATTTAAGCTTTAAAAAATAAATAAAAATTTAAATCTGAAAACTTGGTTGTATCTTTACAAGTTTATTTCATACTTATCTTTTGTATACCTGCTGATCTCCTAATCATGCAAGAGTTTCAGCTGTCCTTTAAAATAATATTTGTGATAAAAGGAATATGTAAGTGACTTCTAGTAAATCAGACTTTTCCATGATATCTTTTTAACCAGTTGATGAAAGAGTAGGTAAAAGTCATGTTTTCATTTTTCATTAGAAATCATTTCTTACATCCAAGCAGCATTAAATAGTGTAATTTTGTAGTTATACACGTAGTGCTAAAGCTTTTTTTTTTTTTTTTGGCTTATGCATTTATTTTGGCTCTAACAGTAGATGGGTTGCTTATCATTGTTTTGTTTTGAGGTTTCTTTTGTTTTTGTTTTTGTTTTTTTGGTTGTCATTGTTATAGCATTATTTTTATTTTGGTAAAAATTTTAATTGAAATATAGTTTATTTACAGTGTTTCAGGCATAGGGGTTGCCTGTTGACAAACATTGTGTAGCATTTATGAATTTTATAATTCTAGTATTTTTATCCTTCCAAGGGAAATTGTTTTAGAAATTTGTCAAAGTAGAAAGCGGAAAAACTCCTTTTACCGTTCTGTTTTCTATCCTAGCAGTGTGTAGGGTTTTTTTTTTTCAATAGTAACCTTTTAAGATCCTTTTCCAATAAATAATAAGTTATTTTCATGCTTTTGTCATGTGTTATTACTTCTGTAGACTATTGGTTTTTTGTCATTAGTTTTATTGAGGTGTAATTTATGTATAACACAATACACATTTTATTTTATTTTTTTTTTTTTTTTGAAGGGAAGGATTTTTATTTGTTTTCTTCACTTCTGTGCTCGATACATATAGGTCTCAGTAAATTAGTGTTAAGTAAATGTATTCATTTTACATGTAACAAAGGCTGTGTGCCTCCTCAGTTGGTTTAGTCATGTCCCACTCTTTGTGACCCCATGGACTGTAGCCTGCCAGGCTCCTCTGTCCACGGGATTCTCCAGGCAAGTATACTGGAGTGGGTTGCCATTTCCTTCTCCACACAATACACATTTTAGTAGAGTTTTGACAAATGTATACAATCCTTATAACCAGCAACCCAACCAAGATTTCTGCTATCCCCAGGATTCCCTTTTCTCTTTTGTGGCACTGGCTACTTCCCATCTGCAGCCTTAGGTAGCCAAGGATTTTCTATCCCCTACAGATTATATTTGTCTTTTTTATTGTATTTCTGGAGTCCACATGCCGGCAATAGCAAGCTCCTCTGTGCAGGGCCAGTTAGAAGCATACAGTGTGCGCTCCTTTCTGTCTGACTTCTCAGGCTTTAAGATTATCCTTAATGACTGTGTTGATTGTGTATTTTGTTGGTAATTCATTCCTTTTATTTTTTTTAATTGTGGTAAATGATACAAAACTAAATGTTGCCATTTCTAACCATTCTTCTGTGTCCACTTCAATGGCATTAATTATATTCCCATTGTTGTGCAATCATCACCTCTATTTCCAAAGCTTTTTCATAACCCCAAATAAACTCTATAGCTTTTAAGCAGTAACTACCCACTCTTCTAACCCCTCAGCCTGGTAGCCTCTAATCTACTTTGTTTCTCTGAGTTTGCCTATTCTACACATTTCAGATAAGTTGCATCATACAATATTTGTCCTTTTGTGTCTGGCTTATTTCACTAAGCAGTGTTTTCAAAGTTCATGTTGTTGTATCTATCAGCATTTTTTTTTTTGACTGAGTAATTTTCCATTGAATAGACATACTTTGTATGAACATAGGTTTTCAGTTCTCTTGAGTGCATACCTAGAAGAGGAATTTCTGGATAATATGGGAATCCGAAATTTGACTTTTTATGGACTCACAGGGCTGTTTTCTATAGGGCTGTACCCTTTTACATTCCTACCTGCATTGAACAAGGGTTCCAGTTTCTCCCCATCCACTCCAACACTTGTTATTATAGCCATCTTAGTAGGTGTAGAAGGACTGTTGGTTTTTCATAAGATACATAAGCATAGACTGTTGCTACAAACTTGGTAGGGGAATTAATGAGCGTAATTGTATATGTTCCAGGAAGATGGACTGAGGCAAGTTCTGGAGGAGATGAAAGCTTTAGATGAGCAAAACCTACCTGATGTGTAAGTTGGTGAGTTGATATTTTAAAACAGTTTAAGACATATGATATTGATGTCAGATCATCTTAACATTAGTTTTTAGATATGATTTTTTTTCTTTTTTTAATTTTCTGTGAGCCTGGTCATACCCTAGCTATGCAGAAGTAGAAGGATTTGTGTTAATGATTGTTATGTCTCTAGGGACGAAATAGTGCTTGGCACATGGTAGGTGTTTGATAAATACTTCTTGTTTGACTGGTGTGACTTGAAAGGAATTAGGGTGGATCCAAAAGAGATGATCCAGGAGCAAGTAACAGACCTGACCAGTGAAGTGCATTGTTTCCACTGCTTGTTTTCATCAGGTGAGGCCTTAGTGGGTTTAAAGGGAGAACAGGAAGTTTGCAAATTTAGCAGGAGTAGCAGAGACTTGCGAAAGCTTGACTGAAGTTGGCTGGGAACTCGTGCTGCAGAACACTACAGCTTGGTGGGCTGGAGGGTTCTGGAGTTGCAAACTGTTTAGAGCCAAGCATAGGAGTGGGCACAGAGGAGAATTTGAGCTGAATGACAGACTTCAGAGGACCTATGACTGGGTGAAGAATAAGACACAAGACTACTGACTGCTGGAGGAAAAATGAGTTATTGAGTGCTCATCCTGGAGAGAAGTATGTCTGCAACTTGAGATTTCATCCCTGGTCTTGTTAGGTAGTATTTTCATCAGTTAGTTGGGCATAGAAATCAGTAGTGTGTTGTTAGAGTGTGTGGAGTACACAGAACAGTAGGAACACTTTGCAGTGACTGTGTTTAAGGATAGATACTGATGATGAGGAACTGATGTGCAAGAGGTCTGCAGTAAATGTAAGGGAAATCGAAAGTCCTGCACTCAGGTTCCCAAGTCCTTCATTTGTTCCTGCCACTCAGCAGTTATGAGCTGATAAAGGGCTCTGGTGTTTCAATTGTAAACAGCAGAATCAAGAGGTTTGCCCCCATGGCCCTCAACAGTGTCATGCAGAAGGCAGGTGTTAAATGCGGGTAAAGCAGGTCAGAGTACCTGCTGTGAAGGAAAACACCATACTGGGAGAGAGAGTCATGCTCTGAAAATATTGGTAGATTGTGAAATCTGGGAAATTCTCTCCGAGGAATAGACTCTTCAGCTGGAGCCTGAAGAAGCGGGTTTTAGCGAGGAAGTAACTGTGGGCAGAGAGCATTCTAGTTGGAGGAAACAGCATGTGCAAAGGCCCTGAGTCTTGAAAGAGGGTGGGATGCCCAGGGACCTGGGCCTTCCCAAAGGCCAGTGTGGATGGAACTTAGTGAGCAGGCAGAGAGCAACACCAGGGGAGATTTCTAAGCATGTGGGGCAGGTGGTGGCATGTTTGTGTTCTAAGGATGACCCTGGCTGCCATGTGGATAGTGGATGGTGGGATCGAGAGGGAAGATGGTGGTCATGCCCGTGACAGGAGAGGTGAGCCAGACCAGGGGAAAGGAGAACAGTTTACACACCTGTTTAGGAGGTGACTGAACAGGCCTTGGTCCAGTAAGGGAATGATTTTCCTCTATTCGTACCATGGGGAAATTCATGATCCAAAATTCTGTGCCGTATCCTCCTAGTTTGGTTCTGGGCAGGACACTACCATTACCAGTTTCTGGTTAAAATTCTTTGTCAGAAGAAATATATTCCTATTTAATTGCTCACATGGAAATGTGAATTTTTTTAAGGAAATTCTTGTGTACTGAATCAAGTACTTTGATGTTACGTTGGGTGTATTTTATTTGTGCTATTCATTATAATCAAGAGCACATTGTAAGCAGTGTGGAGAATAAGTCTAATGTTTCTAGAATGGCAGAAGTATCTAGAACAGATCTAGAAGACATGGTACATCTATGTACATGGTACAGATCTAGAAGACACGGGACATATATTTTGCCTCTATTTTCAGGGTCTAGAGCAGGCACTTATATTTTGTATTTATCTGTTCCCTTTTAACACTCTAAAGTAGATATTTATTAGTTCTGTACATCTGGTTTTGTTTTGTTTTCTTTTTTTCTTTTTAATTGTGGTTAAGATATACACCAGATAGCTCAGTGGTAAAGAATCTGACTGCCAAAGCAGGAGATGCATTCCCTGAGTCGGGAAGATCCCCTGGAGAAGGAACTGGTGACCCACCCCAGTTCTCTTTACTGGAAAATTCCAAGGACAGAGTAGTCTGGCAGGATATAGTCCATGGGGTCAGAAAGAGTTGCACATGACTGTGTGACTGAGCACACATACAATTAAGTGTATTCTAAACATTCATAGTGTCATATAGCTATCCCCACCACCACCTTCTCTAGAACTCTTCATTTTGCAAAACTGAAACACCATACCCAGTAAACAATTGTACATCTGATTGGAAAGGGTGAGGCTTGTCTGACATCTAAGGAGACACATATTTTATAGGGTAAAGCCAAAATTTTCTCCTTCTCTGTGTAAAGGACCCTAAAGTACAAACATGCACAGAGTTGAAGATAAAGAACTATTTCTTGGATGAGTGGAGGAGCATTTGACTTTAGAGTCCTTTGCTCACTCTATGGGAATGAGGATTTGAAAATATTGATATCATAGAAAGAGGACTCCGTAGGATGAAAGCATGATGTGAGGCCATAATCTTATGCACCGTGATATTTGATCTCTTATCCCATCATGAAAAAGGGATTCTAAAAAGTGAGGCAAAGATTATCTTTTGGAGACAATGGAAATTAATCAGTGTACAAAACCCAGTGTGCCACATGGCTAAACAAAAGAATGGGAGTGTTATCCTAGGCAAATTAGTTAGGTATTTATTTATTTATTTAATTTAAGTTTGTGCACACAGCTTGCAGGATCTTAGTTCCCTGACCAGGGATTGAACCTGTGCCCTCAGCAGTGAAAGTGCAGTGTCTTAAACATTGGACCACCGGGGAATTCCCTGACCCTTTTCTGTTTTATCCTATTAGCAAAAGCTCTGATATGGAGGCAGGTAGGTTAACTACTAACACAAATGGCTGACAACAAGCATGGACTCAGTTGTTAGCTGGCTTTGAAAATTTGACTTGTTCTCAATAGACATTCTTTTCCTTAAATGTTTTACCAGGAATAACGCAAAGTCAAGTGGACGAGATGATTTGATCACAGCCATCAAGTTTCGACACTGTTCTTTGCGAAGAAGTCAGCGCTGCGCTGGAGCTGCCTGTGAGCTTCTGTGTTTGCGCGGGTGGCAGGGAGCAAGGGGGGGTTCCCGTCCCAGTGGGTGTCAGAAATTCTTGGCGATGTCTCTCTTCTATGAGCATTCTGAATTTTCTCTTTGTTTCCTTTCAAACGTGTTTTATTATGGAAAGTTGCAGTATTCTTAAACTAGGGAATAATATTACAGCCCCCCATGGAGCGATCATATAGGTCAAACAGTTCTTTTTTTTTTTTTTTTTTAATTTTTAATTTTATTTTTTTAGCTGTGCTGGGTGTTTGTTGCTGTACACAGGCTTTCTCTAGTTGTGGTTCACAGGCACCAGGATGTGGGCTTCAGTAGTTGTGGCACATGGGCTTAGTTGCCCCGCAGCATGTGGAAGCTTCCTGGACCAGGGATCGAACCCAGTGCTCTTCATTGGCAAGCGGATTCTTAACCACTGGACCACCAGGGAAGTCCCCAAACAGTTCTTGACATTTGCCATCATCGCTTTTTCTTGTTTTATGTGTCTAGGCTAAACATTAGGCATTTTACTGCTGAATAGTTTTGTGTGCATCTTTAAGAAATAAGGACCTTTGGGGCCTCTTCTCACTGCATAATTGACCTGTGACCACTGTGTAATTCTCCTGTCTAGAGCAGTGACCATCCCTTCACAGCATCCATCCAGTCTGTTCCTCTTTTCCCTGCTGTCCCGAAGGTGTCCCCTTGCAGTGGTTTGTTTGCCTCCGGAACCAAATCAAATCCACGTGTTACCTCCTGGTGGTTCAGTCGTAAGCCTCTCCTGATCAAGACAACTTCTGATCCAATGCTGTATTAATGTTCTAGGCATGACTGGCTGCTTCGGATTAGAGCCCTCAGGTGGGGTTATAGCAGTGTCTTGCCAAGTGCTTTACGATTTCACATGTCTGCTGAAGACGTAAGTTAGCACTCTTGTTCAAATTTGTAAATTCAGAATCTGGCTGAGCGTCTGGCTCAGCTTCTATAATAGTATTTATAGCACTTGTCTTTTTGTTTTAACCTTTGATTTTCAGTAGTTTTTGGTCTGACAATGGTAGTAGTAATTCTAAATGCTGTATGGAAAACTACTATTAACAAAATAAAGGATCCCGTTATGTTAGTTGCTAGAGATCCATCAGTAGGGTGCAAAACTGGCATCATTATTTGGAAATTTTTCATAAAATATGTGTGTGTACATACTTTGCTTGGGGCTTCCCAGGTGGCACTTGTGGTAAAGAACTTGCCTGCCAATGTAGGAGGCGTAAGTGATGCAAGCTCAATCCCTGGGTTGGGAAGATCCCCTGGAGGAGGGCTTGGCAACCCACTCCAGTATTCTTGCCTGGAGAATCCCATGGACGAGGACCCTGGTAGGCTATAGTGCGTATAGTCACAGAGAGTTGGACACGACTGAAGAGACTCAGCAGGCACACACATACTTTGCTTATCTTTGTGAATATGTGTGATGAATTCTTGATTTGTCCAGTCACTGAGGCACAGGATTGAAGGCAAGCAGACTCGTGTGGAAATATTGGCTCTGCTTCTGTGAGATCCTAGGCAGGACGCTCCATCTCTCCCTGTGCCTAAATTCCCTCATTTGCAAATTGAAAGTCATAGCATCTGCTGCAGTGACTTCAGACACTAACTCCCTAGTTAGACCAAACCTCATAGGTTAAGACTGCCCTCACTTCAGACACCAGCCATGGTTTGGGGGTTCCCAGGGCCACTCTCCCTTCTGACCAGCTGGCTGCAAATTCAGAGGTTCCCACTCTCCCCTCAGGTTTGAGGCTTTTAGCCTCTTGACATCATTGCAGAGAGGAGAGGGGAGCCAGAAGTAGGGCTCCGTCACCTGTGATTCAGTCCGTCATAGTTTGATCCATCGATGCAGCCTGTGTCGTGACACTCCAGACTTGTGTGAGCTTCCCTGGTTGACACCACATCATGTGCATTGTTCCACGGCAGTGTGCCGGGAGGGTGGTGTGTCCTGATTCCTCGGGGAGAGGAAATCAATGCTTCACATCTGGGACCCTCCCAGACCTCACCCTGGGTGTCTCTTCCTTTGGCTGGTTCTCATCTGTATTCCATTCACTACAGTACAACAGGACATCAGGACAGTGCTTTCCTGGGTCCTGTGAGTCGTTCTGGCAAAGTATTAAACCTGAGGGAGGGGTGTGTGTGTGTATGTATGCACACACACACTTTACTAGTGAAGGTTATGAAGATGTTTTTCTGTAGTCTTTTCGGAGTTATCTTGTTTTATTTTTCACAAAGATATCCATGGTACTGGAATCGATTTTTGTGAATAATGTATAAGCCAAGTTGCATGTCTGTGGTTGGGGGGGGTGGGGGGGGGCTTTCTTTTGTCTTAGTCTGTTTGTCCTTGTACCAATTTCATACTGTTTAAATGATTATAATTTTGTAATACTTCTTAAGTAAGTTTTCCCATTTTGTTCTTCTTTCTCTGTGTCTTGACTGTTTTTGGCTTTTTGCATTTCCATGTAAATTTTAGCCTTATTTGTCAAGTTTGATATTTTTAAACAATTGGAGTTTTGATTGAGAATGACTTGGATCTGTAGATCAGTTAACATTGTAATACTGAATCATCCAGTCCTTGAAAGTGGTGTATCATTCTGCATTATTAGGTACCAATGTGCAGAATGACCAATACCTACTGTTCTAGGTACCAGTGCTTAGTTCATAATAGGCAATCGATAATATTTGTAGTTTGAATGAATGGTCATAGTAAAGATGCATGTAGGCATATGTGCTGTTTTTGAAAGGCTTAGTGTACAGTTTAAGCAAGTTTATTTTCTTACAGCTTTGTCAAATGGCCATCTTTATGTTTCCAGGTGGACTGGTTCAATGGTTACAAAATGTCCCTTGCTACCTACATGAGGTCATTGGCAGGAGACCAAGGTTTGGACATCACACAGGATGTGAAACCTCCAAAAAGCCTGTATATAGAAGTAAGTATACCTTTAAAAAAATGGGTGTTTCTTTAATGCTTAGAGTGTGCTTACTTTTGTCCAAAGGAGGGGGTATATGAATATATACTAGTGTATATAGGCATATAACTTGGAGACACCATAGGTTTGGTTTCTGATTCACAATAAAGCGAATATTCACTAAAACATGTCACACAAATCTTTTGGTTTCCCCGCACATGTAAAACATGCTTACACTCATCTATTGAGTATGTCTTAGCATTATATATATATTTTATTGCTAAAAAATTCTGCTCTCTGACAGTGCAGGGTTGACACAAATCTTTAGTTTGTAAAAAAAAAAAAAAAAAGTATTAGAGAAGCACAATAAAGCAAAGCACAAACAAGAGAGGAAACATAAACCCAAGCCAAAGCGTTTGCCTGTAGTGGGAATAGGATTGAACAATTAAAAATTTCTGGCTGTACCTGTTTTTAAAGTTTTAACTTTAGAACCATGTAAGTATTTTACATGTTAAAAGAAAATGAAATCAAAGTGAAAAACCAACCCAAAACTCTCTTTGGCATCTCCTTCAGTTTCCTTGCTGTCCGTGCTGACCTATACATATATTCAGAGATTTGCCATTTTTCTTCCTCCCCATCAGAACTGGACAGTTTGAACTGCTAGAATGCCTCAGGGAAGAATGCTAAGCCTAACTACACAGAGAAGACACAAACAGAGCCTAACGCTTACCTGTAGGTGCATGTACAGTGCCCAGCTACTGGATGGTTACTCCATAATAAAAAATAATGTAGATATTGTAAAATATCAGTTTTTCTTTTCAGGTGTGGTGTCTAAAAGACTACGGATAATTTGAAGTTGAAGATGGTACTTCAGTGCTGTTAAAAAAACATAGCCAGGGATTTACTGTCTTAGGATACTTTAAATTTTTAAGAGTGTCAAATGATGGAAATGTTGGAATCAGTAGTAAACTAAATACCACCTTGCGATGATCATTTGTGTCATAGACATTAAGTTTATCATAAAATATCCTTTTATCCTTTTCTTAAAAACTTGAAGCAGAAAGGGACAGTACAGTTGACCCTTGAACATCATGTAGGGATAATGGGTGTAGTCAGACTCCCCACTCCCCACAGGCTGTAGACACACGGGCTTCCATTGTGGCAGCAGGCAGACTTGGTAGTTGTGGTGTGTGGGCTCTGTGGCATGTGGATTCTAGAGTTTGTGGGCAGAAGCCTTCCTCTTGAGGAGACTTTGTCTCTCAGTATCAGTCTGTAAAACTGGGGTAACTTAAAAGCATCATCTACTGTAGTGGACATTACGGGGCTTCTAACATGTCTGAGCACATCTGAAATAAGTTCTCTATAAAATCTGTGTAATAGATCACCCACATAATGTGAAATATTAATAGGGAAACATTTTCCTACCATACAGTCCTTTATTCTTGACTCTATGGGGCATGTTTCTCATTGCCCGGAAATGAGAACAAATGTCTTTAGTAGACAGTGGAATAACTGTTCAGTGAACAACTCCATCATTTTTATTTTTTTCTTTTTCTTTTTTGCATTTCAGAGTTGTAAGACTTAAAAATTCAGTTAAGTTAGACATCAGCCCTTGGCCCATGGGTCTTCATGACTGGTTGGCAGGAGTATCTTTGGCCGTGGGTCCCATGCGAGGCCTTTGAGCTTGTAGAGAACTGTCAGGTGCATGATGCTGCTGAAACAGCATCTGCTTCCTTAAGTACTTGCTATACTCGCTCCTTCAGTTCCTTTCTAGAGTTCTCTATGCTGCACTTTCTAATGCACTGTTTTTCATTTTTCCTCAAGTATCTATATCTGTCTAGTCTTTGAGATTCCTTTGGTCACCTGTGAGCTTAAAAAGTCTTTATTTTGAAATATATATGTGAATATATGTATATATATATATATATATATATATATGAAAAGTCATGTATTTTGCCTCTGTTTTCAGGGTCTAGAGCAGGCACATACGTTTTGTATTTATCTGTTCCTTTTAACACTCCACAGTAGATACTTCTTAATTCTGTACACCGGGTTTTGTTTTCCTTTTTTTTCAGTTGTGGTTAATTTGGTTAGTTGAGATGCAGGTTCAATTCCTGGGTCAGGAAGAGTCCCTGGAAAAGGAAATGGTAACCCACCCTAGTTTTCTTGCCTGGAAAATTCCATGGTCAGAGGAGCCTGGCAGGCTATAGTCCACGGGGTCAGAAAGATTGGGACATGACTGAGTGACTGAGCACACATATTGTTGAGTGTATCTGTGTATTCAAAACATTCATAATGTCATATAGTCATCACCACCACCACCTTCTCCAGAGCTCTTTATCTTACAAAACTGAAACACCATACCCAGTAAACAATTGCAGATCTGATTGGAAAGGGTGATACTTATCTGATATCTAAAGAGACATATATTTTGTAGGGGAAAACCAAAAATTTTCCCCTCGATTTTCTTTTGGACACTGGGCAACTTTCTCTGTGCTCACTGAAGCCTCTTGTTCACTTTCCTCCTGATTCACTACTGTAATGGGACTGTTAGGATGAGCCAAAAGCTGTTATTTCAGTCATCCTTTAAGCTGCAACTGGGGCTCCATGCTGTTTTCTCACGAGGCTCAGATCAAGCTGGAGTCTCCCTCACCCGTTCTGCCACGTAGGGGTGTAAATATTGTAAATATTTTTTTCTTATACATAGTTAATGGGAAATGTGAATGCATGAGCGGTCATAGTGAAAACTATCTTTCTTCCTCATTTATTCATCATATTCCATAGCTTGAAAAATAATCTCTAAAGGTCTGTGTATTTCTTTTTATGTCTGGCTATATCCTTCTTCTACTGCCTCCATCCCTATGGAACAATCCGCCTACACCTGACACTATTCTCAGAAAATGTGTAGTTCATCTACTTCTCAAGTGTTGGTAGCGGTTAAGGCTCAGAAACCCACTCAGGCAGTCACGTCGGTGTAGCGGTCACTTGGTGGGTGACTAAAGTTTCTGTGTCACTGACTTTGTCACCAATTTATCTTTTGCCCTCAGTAAAAGCTCCAAACACCCACATCAGTTTGGGTCCTGCCAAAGCAGTCGGCCTTATTTCCTTAGCCCCCTCCTCTGCATCTAACTAGCCAGACTCTGTAGGATCCCACAGGTGTGCTCCTCACCTCCGGTCTTTGTACGTGCTTCTCCCCTCCGTCTCCTGTACTTTTTCCTGTCCTTCAGGTATCTGCTTCCATAGCACCTCCGCCAGAAAGCTGGCAGTATTGTCACAGTGTTGGCTGTCCCTTCTGAGTGTTTCATGCGCCATCTTTTATATCTGTTTTGTATTTATGAGTCTGTATGGAAGTTGCCTGTTTGTCTGTTTTTCCAGTTGAGGGCATATCATTTTCCAGGGTGGAGCTGGGTCACCTTCATCTTGTAATTGCAGTCCTTGTCCCAGCACCTTTGCACACAGTTACTGAGTAAATGGATGAAGAATGAGAAAACCAGAAATTCTGATACTCAGCCACAGGTGCAACCATGAGCAGATTATAAAATTGTGATCTTGTATCTCATGCCATGCCATCTACAGATATATTTCATTTTTCAGAACAATAGGAAAGGTCTCAGGTTTTTTGGTTTTCTTGTTTGTTTGTTGTAAATAATACTTTGTTAACTCAGGTATTTTAAGTAAAGAATATAATCCTTTCCTTTTCTTTCCAGTTGATGCTGAATTTGCATCTGATACCTTTAGAGTGTCTCCTCGAGGATCTGCAGATGGGTCAAATGTGTATGATGACCAAATTTTGAAAACAAAAGCACAGTATAAACAGATTTTGAAGGAAAAATATATGATTTAGAAAGATAAGCAGTTGTCACTGAAACCACAGGAGAGCTTTTCAAGGCTTGAGGTGATGTCTGCTGAAAGGGTCACAGCTGAGGGGAAAAGATGTCCATCAGATTTGTCAACGTGAAGGTCACTGGCGGCCTCAGCAGGAGCACTCGATGATGTCTGAAGATACACAGGGTTGAAGAGCTAGAGGTGAGAAAGACAGAATTAACACCTTTAAAAGGTGAGGGTTCCTGGGACTTCCCTGGTGGTCCAGTGGTTAAGACTCTGAGCTTCCACTGCAAGGGGCAATCTGGGGGGGCTGGAAAAAAAGATGAGGGTTTCCATCCCTCCTATCTATATGCAACAGAAACTAACTTTTGATTTTCAAAATAAGGTAAAATTTGCATGTGTGATAAAATTCAAGTAAGCCTTTTCTAAATTATCTTAAGCACAACAACATTAATTTATTGCCACTTTTCATTGAAATGACCTTTCCTATTCCTATTCTTCTTGGCTGGCTCTTGAAGTGCATCCCTGGTTTGTCCGTTAGGTAACTTAGCAGGGTCTGGAGACACACAAGAGGGGAGAACTGGGGGCAGGGTGCCTGAAGAAGGGAGATTTGTGCTTTCTCACTTATTTATTTATTTTTAATGAGGAAGGTTTTTGCAAGTTTATAGGCTACAGATAGAGACCCAAAGACTTGGAGGCTAAAAATGAAAGTGATAAGGACTAATCAACGAAACAACAGGGTGGAAGATGGAGGTATCCAGAGCACAGGGGGAACAGCTGAGGGTGTGGAGTAACCTCCCGTGTGCTACAGAGACAGAGGTGCCCCCTCTGAATGCAGTGGCTGCAGCAGTGTGGGACGGTGGAGCATGAGGTCTGAAGGAAGGGACAGGCATTGACTGTGGGCAGGGCAGGAGCGAAGGATGGATAAGAGGAGGGAAAAGAGAAAGGGGGAAGCTGGCGCCTTTGGGTTGGAACCTGAGGCCCCTGTTTCAAGCAGCTGGGGGTGAAATTAGATACAGCCTCTCCCTCAGCACTTTTAACACAGGACTGAGTGGAGGAGGGTCCACCAACTTGGGGGGATCCTGCTGAGCCTCGTCTGGCCAAGGCCCCTCCCAGAAAGCTCCCACCCCCTGCTCAGGGCCCCCACCCCACGCTGCTAAGATGCCCCCATCCGCCAGCCACCCGCAAGGATGGGAGGACTGGAATGTTGAAATGGCTCCTACCCGGGCCTGTCTCAGTCTCTGAACTTCCGGCACCAGCCTGTGGTGGCTCTGGCTTCCTGTGCGAGTATTCGGAAAGGCATAAATCTCTGCTGAAGGTGGGGGCTGACCCCTGGTGGCAGGCGAAGGTGTGCAGAAGGCACAGTTGGCTCCAGGAAGTATAGACATAAGGGCACAGGTGGCAATTGTGTTGGAAAGAGGAGCAGGCCAGGGCACACTCCTTTTATTCAGATTAAGTGTTTCCTAGATGGCCTGGGTGAGAATGAGGAAGTATATGGAGTGACCAAAGCCCTGCACAAGGCTCCCTTTGGTGCCACCCTGGAGAGAATTTCCGGAATCCTGGGTTCTGGCCCTAGAGAGACATGCTGGCAGAGCAGGGGTTAATGCCTCCTGGTCTGCCCTCCTGTGAGACCAGAATGTTCCACTCCAGGCTGAGGCAGGCGGCTTGGGGGGAAACTGCCTGTCACCCAATGAATCAGCCATCACATTGAATTCAGCACCTTCAAAGCCTGAGATCAAGGCCAAGGCTGGGGCTGCAGAGAGTAGTGAGGAGAGAGGGGGAAGCAGGTTGCTGAGAGAAGCCTAGTTCTCTCTGCCTGAGTGACAGGAAGGGTGATGCTGATGACTGGGGTGGGTTAATGACATGCTTGGCACTCTCTGGAATGAGAAGCTAAGGGAAGGGCTTGGCCTGTCCTTCTGTGTCCCCATGGGGATGAGAGATCATTGATTCGCAAGGCCAAGCCCCTGGGGTCTCAGGCTGCACTTCCAGGGTGCACAGACAGCCCCCTCTCCTGCTCCCCCTGCCTCACTGCCCTCCTCCACCCCTGACCTCGTCCCAGCTCTCCCCCACCGCCCCCAGTGAGCTCAGGTTGGTGCTGAGTCACTTCCAGGGTGCACAGACAGCCCCCTCTTCTGCTCGCCCCACCTCGCTGCCCTCCTCCACCCCTGACCTCATCCCAGCTCTCCCCCACCCCCCCAGTGAGGTCAGGTTGGTGCTGAGTCACTTCTAGGGCTCTGCCCTACTCAGTGCACCCAGCTCCAATCGCTGTCAGAGCTGGTGGCCCCTTCCCAGCCACACGGAAATCAGCTCCCCCGGAAGCTGGGCACCCTTTCTCCAATACAAGGGGCTAGCCTATCCCACTTGCCTGAAACTGGAGCCAGTTCTGTGGTGCCATCATGCTCTGATGCTCGCCTGAGAACCAGAGGACAGTCTCCAGATAAGAACACTTCCAAATCCATGTTTAACTTTCTTCCTCTTGTCCTGTCTGGTTTCCCTCACTCATCTTCTCCCAAGAGAACTTCTTAAATAAATATAGTAAATAAATAATCTCTTAATTATTAAGATTGATTCATTAATCTTAATTTAATTAATTAATGTCTTGACTAATTTAAGATTTAAAATAAATCTCTTAAATAAGAATCTTAAGTAAGAACCTCTAGAGCTTCCCTGGTGATCCAGTGGTTAAAAATCCATCTTGCAAAGCAAGGAACACCTCTTCAATCCCTGGTCCTGGAAGATTGTATGCCTCGGGGCCACAACTATTGAGCCTATTCTCTGAAACCTGCAAGCCACGCCAACTGAGCCCACGCGCAGCAACAACTGATGCCCATGCACCCTAGAGCCTGTTCTCCACAACAAGAGAAGCCACCGCAGTGATAAGCCTGCACACTGCAACTAGGGAGTAGCCCCCACTCTCTGCGACTACAGAAAGCCCACACATAGCAACAAAGACCCAGCACAGCAAAAAATAGTAATAAAAAATATTTTTAAAAATCTCCACTGCAGATGCTGTTCCAGGGACCCCATCCTATGAAAGCCTCTAGTTATTCATAATTAGCATCAACCACAATTTATTGCTTCTAAAAATTCAGCTTTACCCAGTACCTGAGTGAGTGAGTAGAAGTCACTCAGTTGGGTATGACTCTTTGTGACCCCATGGACTGTATAGTCCATGGAATTCTCTAGGCCAGAATACTGGAGTGGGTAGCCTTTTCCTTCTCCAGGGACTCTTCCCCACCCAGGAATCAAACCAGGGTCTCCTGCATGGCAGGTGGATTCTTTACCAACAGAGCTATCAGGGAAGCCCACATAGTATCTAGCACCTTGTAATACATCCCTTTCTTTTTAAACTGAGTATTAGATTATGTAGTTTGCACAAAGCACTTTTCACTGATACAATGATTCACACCAAAAATAGTTGCAGCAAAAAACACTCAAGGGAGTGAGAGTCTGGCATCCTGAGGGGTGAGATTGGTCATCCTCTCTGGTTGAGTTTGAAGGCAGTGAAGATCCTATTAGTAGTAAAGGATGATATATGGTGAGGACTATTCATTTCTTGATTTTATTTTTTAAAATAATATAATGAGAACCCATGAGTTTGCTACTCATATCAGGAGCTAAACTATTATCAGTAACTTAGGTCTACCATGCACTCCTCTCCATCCAATACTCGCCTCCCCCAAGAGGTCACAAATATCTGGGTGTTTTATCACATATGTTGATGCCTAAATAAGGTATTGTTTTATTTGCTTTTGATCTTAGTGAAAAGAGTAGTCTTTTGACACTTGCTTTTCCACTCAAAATTATAATTATGAAGATTAGCCATGTTGTGGCACAAAAAGGAATATCATTTTCATTTTTACTGCTGTGTAGTATTCCATGTGCGAATACACCACAAATGATCCATTCTGTGGTCAGTGGGTGTATGAATTCTTCCTTTTTTCCTTCTCTCTTACAGACAGTGTTACTGGCAACTAGTTTGTTCTCTGTATCTGTGAGTCTGTTTCTTTTCTGTTATATTCACTAGCTTGTTGTATTTTTTTAGATCCCAGCTATAAGTGGTATCATACAATATTCGCCCTTCTCTGTCTGACTTATTTCACTTAACATAATGCCTTCCAAGTCCATCTATGTGGCTGCAAAAGGCAAAATTTCATTCTTTTTTATGGCTGAGATGTGGTATATATATCCCATCTATAAAGTTCTATTTTCTTTATGCATAAGTGTTAATAGATATATGTTTCTTCCACATCTTTGCAATTATAAATAATGCTGCTATGAACATTGGATGTATGCATCTTTTTTAATTGGTGGTGGTGTTTTTTTTGGGGGGGGGCATATATACCAAGGAGAGGAATTCCTGGTTCATGTGGTAGTTCTATTTTTAGTTTTTTGAGAAACCTTCATACTGTGTTCCACAGTGACTGTACCAATTTACATTCTCACCAACAGTGTTCAAGGATTCTCTTTTCTCCACATCTTTGCCAACATTTTTTATTTATATTCTTTTTTGATGATAGACATTCTGACAGATTTGAGATGATATCTCATGGTGGTTTTGATTTGCATTTCCCTGATCGATTAGAGATATTGAGCATCTTTTCATGTGCCTGTTGGCCATCTGCATTTCCTCTTTGGAAAAATGTCTATTCAGGTCTTATGCCCATGTTTTAATTGGGTTGTTTGATTTTTGTTTTTGATGTCAGGTTGTATGAGCTGTTTACATGTATTGAATATTAATCCCTTACCAATCAAATCATTTGCAAATATTTTCTCCTATTCAGTAAGTCATCTTCATTTTGTCAATGATTTCTTTTGCTATGCAAAAGCTTTTATGTTTCATTGGGTCCCATTTGTTTATTTTTGCTTTTATGTCCTTTAAGAGGGGATAAAAAACATAACTGCTGCAATTTATGTCAAAGAGTTCTCTGCCTATGTTTTCCTCCAGGAGTTTTATAGTATGCTGTCTTACAGTTAGATGTTTAGTCCATTTTGAGGGTATTTTGTTGTATGATGTTA